GGCTCGATTAAAGGTGGCTTTCGTGCACACTAAGAATAGATCCCATCGTTGATGTATCAAATTTGACAAGAATAGAGAACGTGGATCGGCGCACGGTATTATTGTACACAAAACCTGATGCTTCTAATTCTAGAGCTATCGGCATCAGCTTGATCAAATTAACAGTGTCCACTCTACCGGATTCTCTTTCTGGGTCGGGTCGTCGAGTCGATTAATGAGGGCTTCATTGCGCCCTATGAATATACCCCTCCATTGTTGTTTTAAATTTGACGAGAATCATAAAACGACCAAGAATGATCAACTTTTTGCAGTTTAGTTATGTAAATAGCTAGCTGCCCGCGTGCCTTCGTCTCGCCAACCATGAGCTTCCGAACGCACGCTGTACCTACACATTCGATCGTTTGACTCGTGACCTTAAAAAACCCAAAACAAGCGCGTTTGTTGTTGAAAGTCACTTTCGAATTCGGTCGAAAATGTGTCACGATGATAACCATATTTCAAATGCTGAGGTAAGGAACAGAATCACCAACGCAGTGGGGCATCATGAAGATCTACTGATCACAGTGAAGAGACGAAAATTAAAATATTATGGGCATGTCACAAGATCCACAGGACTTTCAATAACAATCCTACAAGGAACCGTACAAGGAAAGAGAAAGAGAGGAAGGCAGAGAAGGAGATGGGAGGACAACATTACAGAGTGGACAGGAAAGACAATGGGTGACAATCTGAGGAAAGCAGAGGACAAAGAGAAATGGCGAGAGCTCGTTATCAGATGCAGTGGTGCCCCAACGGTTGCCCCAACCACGGGATAGAAGAAGAAGAAAAAGATGATAACTTTTGCCCCTCCTTTGAAGAAAAGCTGGCTGGCCGGGACCCAATTCGACGGAATTCGACTGGATTCGATATGAAGTATGCACAGGGTATCAACCCACCGGGCTGATAATAGTGAGGTTGTGGGTTAGGGAGTTTGAAGCTCAGCTGAGCTAGACATTATGTCCTTGGAAAGGCACTTTACACGATTTTTTTCTCACACTTCAATTAGGTGTGAATGGATACCTGGCCATAGACAGCGAGAGATCTTGTCAGTATGTTAGTGTTTTAGTGACTGCAAAATAGCAGATTGCACTGTGTGCTTTCCGGGAATCTGACAATATATGAGGCTGTTTGGTGAAATCAGGCGCTCGTCAAAATAATGAAAGTGAAGAAACTGGCATTTTTCTGCCAGTTCGGCAATTTTTATTGATTATATATATATTGTTTTTGCTTAACACCATTGTTGTCCAATTAAGAACACATTTCTGGCTGGATTTTACTGGAAGAACGTTGAATAAAGGCATAAAAATGTAAGTTTTCAGTTTCCACGGACTCTCAAGCTAAGGAGACAACTAAATTTTGGCGGCCATTTCTCACTGTTTTTTTCTCTGAAACTAGGTGACCACCACCTCCTTCATTCGCACTTATCTCGACTTGCATTCAAGACAAAAGGACAGTTTTCTAATCCAAAGCAAGACAGATGAACAAGCTTTAAGATGATACCAATAACTCCACATTTCCAAAAATTGTGACGAGCGCCTGATTCCATCACGTCATGTCACATATATTCGTATTTCTGAGTGTTCTATGGTTCGCTGCGGTGATAATGAAGGTTAAGCACACCGAGCAATGCGCAGGGCATGGATACGCGTCACATTAATGCAGTTATTGTTGTTGTTGTTGTTGTTGTTGTTGTTTTGTTGTTGTTGTTGTTGTTGTTGTCGTCGTCATCATCATCATCATCATCATCATCATCATCATCATCATCATCATCATCATCATTATTATTGATATTACTGGACGAACTAGGCAATATCTAACTAAAATTGGAGAGATTTCAGACATTATAAACATATTTTCTTTCTATTGTATTTGTCCAAAATTTTTAGAATGATTTATGTTTCTCTCTACCTGTCTTTCTGGGCCACTCTTTTCAACCGACCTCTGGTTCTCTATCTTCTGCTTGTTTCAGTTTTCGCACTCGATGTCAAGACAAAAAAGCAACACTTCCCGGGGAGGAATCGAACCTTGGTCTCGATGACACATTCCCTTTATTTCAAAATTATAGATACAACTGTAGTAGACGTCAAAGTAAAGTTGTTCCCGCATCCGATCCAGACATTGGGGATTGCCTTATTAGTGAGACAACATCCTTTGCCTTCGGCATAATGTGGTAGGATGGCCAGTTCCTTTCCACACCGCCTTTACTTCCCCAACTCGAAGTCGGGCACCCATTACTGCTGGGTGGGCAGGAGGGGGCGAAAAAAATCAGTGTCCGAACCGAGGCTCGAACCCGGACTTTCCGCTCCGTAGACGAGCGCACTACCTGCTCCGCCACCGCACCCTCTAGATAGTAGACGTATGATGAAAAAATGGTTTAATCACAAATCACAGCTTGGGCACGCTAAGGACACATTCAGCAGCCTTGTAGCGAAGTTCAGTAAACTGGAATTGTTTCGCTCGTGAGCATATCATTCCTGGCAAGCACCGAGTTCCACATTGTACTCACTCACTCACTCACTTACTCGCTGGCTCACTCACTCACTCGCTCACTCGCTCGCTTACTTACTTACTTACTTACTTACTTACTTACTTACTTACTTACTTACTTACTTACTCCCATTACCATCAGGGAGCAGTCGACGACACGCTTTCCTGTGCGATTGGTAAAAAAAGCGCACAATCGCAAAAAAATAATATAAATAAATATTACTGTAAGTTACTCGTTCGAGATTATACTTAAAATTTTCTAGTGTTATCAAAATGTACAGACACATCTTTCGGCTTGTCTGTTTGTCCCCACAGAATGATCCACGCTGTTGACTGGTTCCCCACCATCGCTGAGGCTGTTGGCCTCAACTATACAAGTAAGTACAGGGATACCTTCAAGAGGGGTAAAGCTTATTTTGGTAATAGTTTTACGGCACTTGCAATACCATTCAGTTAAATAATTGCCGATGATTCGAAGTGTTACAAGAGAGTAACATAAAACAGAACAAAACAAAAAAAAAATAGCCAGGAAAACTGAAAACAAATTACAAAACCCCAAGGAAACTCGATAAAGTCAGTAGATGTTTGATGAGAAAGAAGGAGCAAACCACACCAGAGCACCCGCTAACTCCAACTGGTGTGGCTAAAAAAGGTCAACTTACGGCAGCAAAAAGAATAATATAAAGCACGCAGATGTCTTATGTCCCCACCGACATAATTTAAATATTTTAGGAGGCAGGCTACTTTAACCCCATCCAATCGGGGCCAACACAGGCTGAAAGTGATACAACATCGTCCCTGCAGACTTACTTACTTACTTACTACCCATTACGCCATCTGGCGTTTAGGGCAGCAACAAAGGAGCTCCAGCTCCGTCTGTTTTGGGCCATCTTGGTCAATGTCCCCCGCGAATGGTTCCTGGACTTCATTTCAGACTCTACTGTCCATCTCCAGGTCACCTTGGGTCGGACCCTCTTGCAATGTTCTTCGGGTGTCCAGTGGAGTGCAGTCTTTACAGTAGAGTCTGGTTCTCTTCTCAGAACATGCCCAATCCATTTGCAGAGGGAAGGATTAGTTTGATCGCTAAAAAGTCTCTTACCAACCGAGATTCGAGCTCATGTTTTCTGTGTGCAACAGCGATTTGCCTAACCTCTCTACACAACACTCGGTGGTGTGAAGAATATGATCATTACTGAGGGAGCTCTACATAGAAAAAGAGGAGAACATGAGTTAGCATGCAGCTGGACATAGCCGTTTAAGACCCTGTGCACACTATGATAGTTGACACTGATCGCTCGGCTGCAGTTGTATGCAAAGGTAGTCACTGAAGTATGTCCTTGAGCAAGACACAACAATCCTCGTGGCCTAGAGGTTAATGTGTTGGCGTCTCATTCAAAAGTGCCTGCTTCGAATCCGGGCTGTGACCGAAAAATTCTCTTCTAAAAAATTGTCTCCTTTCACCCCCTTTCGTGCTCTCTAGCAATGTTTTGTCGTCTGCTTTCGTCTCCCTTTTCTGCCCCCACCCCTCAACTCCTTTGCCCCCTCCTGTGGGCTCCTGACTCTTTCCGAAGCTTTTCTTCTGTTAATCCTTGGCTCCTTCTTACTGCTGTCTTTCAGCCACACCTCTGATCTTAAGGTAGGAAAGATCTTCACCTAGCCTTCTCGGACAAGGGCGAAGTATCTCGGAGGGCCCGCGTTCAAGTTGTGCACGTTAAAGCTCCCTTGGTGGTCTAAAATCGAGAAGAGTAGGCTTCAACTGCCACCGGGGCAGAATTCAAAATTTTCTACTAACTGAAAAAGTTTAATGTGTCCAGCGCGCTCATATGACCTTATGTTGTTGCGAGCGCCGTAAAACACTTACAAAAAAAGAGCTATAAATACACTAGTAGCTGTAGCTCGACAAGGCGCGCATTCTGATCACTCGCTGTTTCGGGGACATTTAAAAAAAAAAGAAAAAAAAAAGAAAAAAAAGGAGCACAACTTTATTGTTTAAAAGGTTTTTGCCAGTTCTGTTTTCTTTGTCATAAACTTCACAAGACAGGAAAGATTTGTTTATGGTAGGTCTTAATGCATGTAACGCAGACAAAACCTTTGGTCTTCTACTGATCGGATTCGGACATGATCTGAGTCGGTTTTGTCCTTAAAGAGTTAAATACACTCTTGTCAGTAAACATGTAGAAGTACCCAGGAGAATAGGTATTGAAACCCCAATACTCACCTAGAACATACTGAAACTGAAATTGAACTACTTTGGGGATATCAAACGCTATGACTCATTCGTGAAAATTTCTGGAAGCAAAGTAGAAGACAAGAGAGGGAGGGGGAGACCTAACAACAGGATATGAGAACAAGACATAGAAATTTGGCTTGGAGCCAAAACAATCAGGCAGACAGAATGGTAAGAGACAGAATGTTTTATTACAGGAAAGTCCGAGAAGCAACGTTCAACCACTACAAAAAGTTAAGAAATAGAAGAAAGCCTCTGTGCCATCATGCAATTCCCACTGATCCTCCAGACCCTGAAGGCGCTTCTTTAGCTCTATTTAGTATCATACTGGACCACGGAGCAGGTGATCCTTGTTCGATTCGAGAACTGATCATTCTTGAATACGGGTTATTTTTGTGTGTTTTAAAAGGCTTTCAACCCATGGGGCTCGTTCTATTGGATACAGACGTTAAATTCGGGGCTCCCACCTGTCAGGTAACCTAAAAGCGTTACAGGTGCGTTAATCCCACCTGTCAAGTAACCTAAAAGTGTTACAGGTGCTTTAATCCCACCTGTCAAGTAACCTAAAAGTGTTAACAGGTGCGTTAATCCCATACACTAACTTTCTCAGACTCTGACCAGGACGGGGTCAGCCAGTGGTCATCCATCACCTCCCTCGGACCGTCCAGCAGAGACCAGTTCGTCTACAACCTGGACCTCCACCCCTTCCCAGCACAGGGCCGCTCCGCTATCAGGTAGACTTTTGCTCTTAGTTTTAATTTTAGTAGAGGTTTTACGGCGCTCGCAACTGCATAAGGTCATACATGTATGAGCGCCAGAAGATCAGAGGTGTTACAAGAGAGTAACAAACATAAAAAAGAAGCAGAGGAGATAAGGACGATATATGTTTGATAGGAAAGAAGAAGCAAATCACACCAGAGCAACCGCCAACCACCCACGTTCTTGCTCTAAAATAGGTGTTTTACGGCACTTGCGACATAAATAGCTCATATTATAAATGCCGAGGAACAGAGGTTTCGAATGAACAAAAGAGTGAAAAAATTCAATAAAAATTTTGTTTTCGTGTGAGACTCTTGAGTGGGGCCACTTAACCACTCATTTGAACGTTGTTAGTCCGGATGTCCGGTATATTGTCAGCGGATATGTGTATGGTATGAAAACATTCGTTATGGCGGTAGATCATGATTATTTTTACTTTTGAAATTGCCAGTTGTAATGAATCGTTGAACCGCGTGATTGCAACTCCACAATTTCACTGGTAGGATAAACCATGATCTACTGTTAAAAGTCAAGCGATAGATTCTTTCTGTATAATATTATTTATATCAAAAGCTTGCATTATAATCTGCACTCTGACAAATGTCAGGTTTACTATGACTATGAAGCACACCATTTGCCTCTATTCGTAACCAAATTAATGACAAGAAGGGAAAGATTGCTCGTGCACTCGACTATAGCGAGACGGGTGTTTTCTCATGCAATTGCGCGCCCATGAGGTGTACCAGCTTAACAATGTTTTCAAAGAAAGAATGGGACAGCAGCCATGACGGTGCTCGGTCCCGGATATCATAATAAGTCTATGACATTGATACAACTGTAACGTTGTCTGTACTCAGGGTGGGAGACTACAAGCTGGTCATGGGATACCCCGGCCTCTATCAGGACTGGTACAAACCGGAAGACGATGACCAGGGTCCAGTCGTTACCGCTCAAGTCGTGGTGCAGGGAAATGCTAACCAGATGCAGGGGTTAAATGTCACGGGCGACTACAACTTCCTCTTCAACCTGAAAGGTGAGAACCCCTGAAAAAACTGCAAACAATTTTAGAAGAAAAAAAAAGATTTATATTATCTAACGAGCATTGCGCAAATCTAAAATGAAATGCTTAAAAACAGGAAACGAGAGGGGAAAAAAGAACAATAAAGAGAGATTTGACCTTCACAAAGAACAAGACAACCCCCCCCCCCCCAAACCAAAACCAAAACCAGAACAGAAATAAGGAGAATAGAGATTTTAAAAAAAAGTGAGATATTCGCTTCATAGAACCGGAAACGTTAACAAAAAAACAAACAAACACCCATCAACAACAAAAACGACAAACAAAACAAAACACCAAACAAAAAAAACCCCCAACAAACAAACAACAAAAACCCCAACTAAAAAGAGAAAGAAGAACCATAAAAAAACAAAACAAAGCAAAAACCAAAAGCGAAGAGCGATTTGATCCCAGACTTCACCTTTTTCTCCCGCCAGATGACCCGGAAGAAAGGAATAACCTTTACGACAAACTTCCGGACGTTGTGAAAAAACTTGAAGCCAAGCTGGCAGACGAGACGAGACGATACACCAAGCCAGATTATCCTGACAACAATCCCAAGTCCAACCCACTCAACTTTGGCGGTGCGTGGTCTCCAGGATGGTGTTAGGATACTCCTCTTCTTCTTCCCTGAGCTTCCCAGCTACATCTCAGGGGTAGTCGACTTCTGGCTCTTCAGAGTAACTGATTTTTCCGTGTGTGACCAATTCCCTACTTCGTCCAGTCCCTTGCATTCAAACAGCCACTTTCCCATTTCGAATGTAGTGTTAGGATGTGGAATGTAAAGTATTAATAAATTGATACACGCTCTTTTAAACATCGTGACAATTTGGGTTAATTTGTTTTCAGTGCTGGAATGGAACTTCGCATTTTGAACTCCCGAGACCGAGACAAGAATTGAAAACGTTAAAAATTTTTTTTAAAATTATGTGGACTACCGGTGAGCGCCACTCCTGACTGACCCAAATGCACCAACCGTAACCAACACCAAACTAGTCAGCACCATCTTTGTACAAACTCTTACATGTCAGTGCCAGAGTTGGTAATTTTTTTGGGAGTAAGTGTTTTACGGCGCTCGCAACTGCGTAAGGTCATATTAGCGCGCGGGACGCATTAAACCTTTTCAGTTGGTAGGAAATTGTGAATGTTGCCCTGGTGGCGGCCAACGCTTACTTTTATAGATTTTAGACCACCAAGGGATCTTTACTGTGCTCACGGGACCTCAGAGATTTTTCGCCCGTATCAGAGAAGATTAGATGTGGATCTCACTTACCATAAGATCAGAGGTGTGGCTGAAAGACCGCAGTAAGAAGGAGCCAAGGGGTAGCAATAGAATCTCAGACTTGGACCTTTACCAAACCAAAAGAAAGAAAAATCAAAGCATGCGAAATGAGATGCCTCAGTGAGATTGCAAACAAGACAAGAATAGACAGGGTCTGTAAACTGAGCTATCAGAATAACAATGGTTACCATTCCAGTTCAACAATACACTGAAAAGCAAAGAATCAAATAGGTTTGACATCTAACTTGCATGCCCACCGACCAACCTGCCCTAAAGACATACAGCACAAGAATACCTGGCTATAAGGCAAGAGGAAAACCAGGAAAACCCAAGAGAAGTTGGATTCAGGGAGTGAAGAATTCATTTATAGCTCGCAATTTCCGGCTCCTGGAGGCTTTCCAGTTCGCAAAGATGTGCCGTCACTACTTCCTCGCTCCACTTCACGGTGTATATATATATATATGCGCCAGACACATTTACGTATATTATAATGAAGTTTGGGAGTAAAAGGAGAAAGTGGAGGTAGAAGTGGGGTGGGGAGGGGGTGGGAGAAGGGGGTGGTATTTTGGCTGTCTCAGATGAAACATGAAAAACAAAACACATCTAAAAGTGAAAATATGTGGCACAGTATCGTCACAGGCGGATTTTTGTTGTAATTGTGGGCGATGCGAGCATACAGAACTTGAACAATTTGTTAATAGGTGGCAAAAGACTTTCACGACAATACATGTCTATTAAAATGTATGTCTCGGTGGTCTAGTGGTCAGGCTGTTGGGCTAGCAACTGACACGTCAAAGGGTCAAACCCTGTCAGGGTCCCACCCATTACTGGGTTCAAGGGAAAGGCACTTTACACAACAATAGCAACAACAACAATAACGACGACTACAAGAACAAGAACAAGAACAAGAACAAGAACAAGAACAAGAACAAAAACAAAAACAACAACAACAAGTTGAACAAGAGGAACGACAAGAGGAATGACAAGAAGAACAAGAACAAAAAGAAGTTAATAGAACACGAAGAAGAAGAAGAAGAAGAAGAAGAAGAAGAAGAAGAAGAAGAAGAAGAAGA